CACAGTCACAATAACTTTGTACATGATTCTTGCTCGAATTGGAAGCCAGTGGAGTGATTTAAGAATTTCAGCACTGGATTGATAGTAAGCAGCTCCAGTGACAATTCTAGCAGCATAATTTTGCACACGTTGTAATTTATCAAGTTGATAGGCTGGAATATCAGCGAATAATCCATTGCAAAAGTCTAAATGTGAATGAATCAAACCGTGAACAAGGATTTCTGCAGATTTCTGAGTGAGATGTTTTCTGATTGTTTTCAAATTTCTTAACTGCATGTGTGCAATCTGACACTTCTTTTGAATATGGATGTCAAAACTTAAAGTGCTGGTCATCTGTACTCCAAGGTCTCTCACATTGTCAACACAATTGACTTCTACCCCACCAACATTGACACTGGAAATGTTCAATTTCTTCAGCTGATGTCTTGTACCATAAATGATGATTTCTGTTTTGCTATTGTTCATTTTTAACTTAAATCTAGTCATCCATGACACAATATCATTAAGACAGTCAGTTAGTTTTTGGCGAACGATTTCTTCGCTGTGATGGTCACCAGCTTTAATTTTAAATGCCACTTTATGATCGTCTGCATATCCATACAAATCCGCCGGATATTTCTGGACTATTTTGTTAAGGGCAGCTATATAGAGAGTAAATATCACCGGTCCAGCACAAGAAGCCTGGGGAACCCCGAACCTCAGTGGCTCAGTATCCGATGAAGACTGTTCAATGACAACTTTCATATCTCTGTTGGTTAAATAAGATTCGATCCACTTTAATGGAATACCCTGTATGGCAAAGTCTTTCTGTAGGATTTCAAGTAATATTGGTATATCGATAGTATCGAAGGCGGCGCTTAAATCAATCATTACAACTATTGTCACATGGCGGCTGTCAGCTGTTTCTAGCAAATCACTGTACATTTTCATCATAGCAGACTCAACACTGTGAAATTTACGGTATGCACTTTGGTAAGATGGTAACAAATTGTTGGACTCAATGTGGCTTGAAATTTGGTTCATTGCAGCTTTTTCAAGAATTTTCGACAAGAATGACAGGTTTGATACAGGCCGATAGTTTTTCAATTCTAAGGGAAGGCCTTTCTTTTTCAAAAGGGGCTTAATAATAGCGCCCTTCCACGTCTCTGGAAAAACACCAGAAGACAATGACCGATTTACGATTTCTGTCACAACAGGTGCAATCAAATGAAGATTTTCTTTCAGCTTTGGTGTTGGCATAACATCCAACTCACATGTTGTTGACTTTGATTCACTCACAAGTTTGATTATGTCTTTTTCATTTAGCGGTATAAATTTGTTCATGATATTTTCACTTGATGGTACATCAGATGCCATAATACTATCAATCACTGAAGATGATGTTTCTGTGTTTATGTTATCCAGATCATCACGAAGTTTAAGGATTTTGTCACTAAAGTAACGCAAGAAATCGTTTGCAAGTGCCGTCTCACTGGTGTGAGGTGGAAGTGGGTTATCCTTCGAACGCCCAAGCAAGTCTGAAGTCACGCTATATAACTTCTTCACATTCCCTTCAGCCTCTCCAATTCTACTCTGATAGAACCCATCCTTTGCTGATGCTATTGCCGCAGTATAGGAGTTTCTTACATTATTGTACACTATTTTTGTGAGATCTGACCTGTCCTTTAAGTATATTTTCTCTATTGATCTTTTGTACTGTTTTAATTGCTTAAGATATCCAGAGTACCATGGAAGTTTGGGTCTAACAGTAATTGATCTTTCTTTCAATGGAGCATGTTTACAAATTATATCAGATGCAGTCTTTGTGAAATCAGACACAAGTTCAAAAAACAATATCTATGCAAGCTTTAGTTTTCAAAGCAAAAATTGCTCATATTTATGTCTTACATATTATTTACTCTTCATGGACCGCTTACATGAAAATTTAATTGAAATAACAAATGTTACTCATTTAAAATCAAGGCACCACAATTTTTACACGTTTACAGTTTCATTGATGACATTGCTAAATAACCAACATGTCAGATGTGTGCCCCTTATTATGCCCCCATTTCGAAGAAAAGGGGGTATATTGCTTTGCACTTGTCGGTCCGTCGGTCCGTCGGTCCGTCGGTCCGTCGGTCCGTAGACCAAATGGTTTCCGAGTGATAACTAAAGAACCCTTAGGCCTAGGAACTTCAAACTTGGTATGGTGATTGGTCATGTCCAGTAGATGACCCCTATTGATTTTGGGGTCAAGGGGTCAAAGGTCAAGGTCACATTGACCTTGTAGGCAAAAACGGTTTCCGATCAATAACTAAAGAACCTTAAGGCCTAGGAACTTCAAACTTGGTATGGTGATTGTTCATGATCAGTAGATGACCCCTATTGATTTTGGGGTCAAGGGGTCAAAGGTCAAGGTCACATTGACCTTGTAAGGAAAAACAGTTTCCGATCAATAACTAAAGAACCTTAAGGCCTAGGAACTTCAAACTTGGTATGGTGATTGGTTATGATCAGTAGATGACCCCTATTGATTTTGGGGTCAAGGGGTCAAAGGTCAAGGTCACATTGACCTTGTAAGGAAAAATGGTTTCCGATCAATAACTAAAGAACTTTAAGGCCTAGGAACTTCAAACTTGGTATGGTGATTGGTCATGATCAGTAGATGACCCTATTGATTTTGGGGTCAAGGGGTCAAAGGTCAAGGTCACATTGACCTTGTAAGCAAAAAACGGTTTCCGATCAATAACTAAAGAACTTTTAGGCCTAGGAACTTCAAACTTGGTATGGTGATTGGTTATGACCAGCAGATGACCCTATTGATTTGGGGTTAAGGGGTCAAAGGTCAAGGTCACATTGACCTCTTGGGTAAAAACGGTTTCCGATCAATAACAAAAGAACCCTTAGGCCTAGGGACTTCAAACTTGATATGATGATTGGTCATGATCAGTAGATGACCCCTATTGATTTTGGTTCAAGGGGTCAAAGGTCAAGGTCACATTGACCTCATAGGTAAAAACGGTTTCCGATCAATAACTAAAGAACCCTTAGGCCTAGGAACTTCAAACTTGGTATGGTGATTGGTCATGACCTGCAGATGACCCCTATTGATATTGGGGTTAAGGGGTCAAAGGGCAAGGTCACATTGACCTTGTAGGTAAAAATGCTTTCCAATCAATAACTTAAGAACCCTTAGGTCTAGGAACTTCAAACTTGGTATGGTGATTGGTCATGACCAGCAGATGACCTTTTGATTTTGGGGTCAAGGGGTCAAAGGTCAAGGTCACATTGACCTTGTAGGTAAAAACGGTTTCCGATCAATTAACTAAAAACTTAGGCCTAGGAACTTCAAACTTTGTATGATGATTAGTCGTGACCAGCAGATGACCCCTATTGAGTTTTGGGTCAAGGGGTCAAAGGTCAAGGTCACATTGACCTTGTAAGTAAAAACGGTTTCTGATCAATAACTTAAGAACGCTTAGGCCTAGGAACTTCAAACTTGGCATGGTGATTTGTCATGACCAGCAGATTACCCCTAATGATTTTGGGATCAAGGGGTCAAAGGTCTAGGTCACATTGACATTGTAAGTAAAACGGTTTCTGATCAATAACTAAAGAACCCTTCGGCCTAGGAACTTCAAACTTGGCATGGTGATTGGTCATGAGCAGCTGATGCCCCTCATTGATTTTGGGGTCAAAGGTCAAGGTCACATTGACCTTGTATGTTAAAACGGTTTCCGATCAATAACTAAAGAACCCTTAGGCCTAGGAACTTCAAACTTGGTATGGTGATTGGTCATGACCAGCAGATGACCTATTGATTTTGGGGTCAAGTGGGCAAACATCAAGGTCACATTGACCTTGAAGGTAAAAACGGTTTCTGATCAATTAACTAAAAACGCTTAGGCCTAGGAACTTCAAACTTTGTATGATGATTGGTCGTGACCAGTAGATGACCCCTATTGAGTTTTGGGTCAAGGGGTCAAAGGTTAAGGTCATGACCAGTAGATACTTGATAATCCTTTTTAATTGTTTGATCACTGGGTCAGAAGTCATGCATAATAACCTTATCACATGACTAATTAGCTGCTGATAGGGGGCATACATGTTTTACAAACATATCTTGTATTGTTCATATTCTTGTTCACGTAAGAAGTAGACAATATGAAAGCCTTAATAATTGCAAAACACAGTAAAAATGAAATGTTGTGAAATAAATTTGAATGCACCTGTTCATGAATGGCAGTGATAAATGTCAGCTACGTAGAAGAGATAGATAATATATAATTGCTGAACTCATCTCTTAAAGATTAAAGACATATTTAAAATTATAAATCACACAAAACTGATATGGCGGTAATTATGGAACCTTAATACTGGATACAAACTGAACGAAATAAAAACAACTAAATGATAGCGGATAAAAGATCAAATATGCAAATTAACAATTGATACACTGATATCGATGACTAATTATCATTCCGTTTCATTGTTCCCTTATTCACATGTACGGCATAATATAAAAAGAAATGTTTTCATACAAATCTTAATACTATGGTTGTATTGCCAAATGGTGGTAAGAACATATAGTTCCCGGTTCTTCGTACATATAGGAATAGTAAAAACCCTTGTTTACAGATGTTATAACACACACTGAGTATTATATACAAACCCTACAAATCAAGCGGTATGTTGAGAAATCTAAATGAATCAATGTTATATAATTAACAATGGCAATTAGGGAAGTTAATTATTAGTACAAACAAGATTTTTATTAAGTTGCTTTGTCTGCTTTCAAGGGTTGCAAGAACACGGAGTACATAGCCGTTTTACATAGCCAAAGTACTTATCAAGAAGTCATTCTACAATTTGCCGATGCTGTGTATATGAATAATACAAATGTAAACACAATCTAATGAAATCCAACGTTTTCAACAGCAATATCATTAAAGATGTGGAACTTTACATTGCGTTCGAGGAATTCATGGCAGCAGTCAAATATATCACAAAACAAGATAATCAATAAGTAGAAGTCCTTTACCTTATTTTACAATAACATAGGTTTTGTGCCAAACTATTCATAATGTGGGTACATTGTTACTAACATAATCAATGAAAGTAACCTAAAAGTATATACAGTATATGATATAAGAAGGCCATGATTTATGATGTGTCTTTGTCTTATATATGTCCTTTTGCGAATTCCGATATGACCCAAGGGGTGTTGGCGTCAACCCCGACAATATCCAACACTAAAGGGTCCTCTTGATCTGCTAAAGTGAGATCTGTAGCATTCATTGCACATACAACCAGTCTAACTTCTGAATTTCCAGAGTGTTTTCTGTATTGTATGAGGGCTTCATACGGATGCACATTCCCACCACTAAAAACAAAAACACAAACAATATGTTTCAACTTTAACCGCACATGGCAATTACGTTTTAAAATCTGGTACAAAACCTAACAATATTCCATAGTTTATCTACGATTTAAATTCGAAAAATTGGAGATTCCTAAAAGGCAACGATGAGATAAAGCAAATGAAAGAATATCACGGACTCGCATTGATTGGATTTGTCTACGAAAACTCTTACCAAGTTTCACTATCTGTGTAGTAAACAAACACATCAATGTTTGTATTTTGCATTTCGATTGCGTCTTTTATCGGTTGTGCACAGTCATTAACTCGTGGGTGATTTGCATTTCTAATTTTTTGTTCCACGTGTTCAAGCTTGTCCGTTCGCAAAATACCAAGGTCTTCAACCCTTTCACCACCAAATGCTGTAATGAAATAAGATAAATATAAGTCAATAATAGCTTTTTATTATAATGAAAAAATGCACTCATATTAGCCGCTTTTTTAATTGACTTGATGATGCATCTTTGCTTTTTGCGGTTTGGATTGAAAATCATCTCTAAATACATTACCTAGTTTCCAAACAAAAACCTTTACTTATGGTATAATTTAATCGTGCTATATTTTCCTTTTTGGATATTGTTAAATCACCATTTTCATTTTATTTTGAAATTCATTAATGTATCTATGCATGCAATACTTTGTAAAATCACCTTTCTTTTAAAGAAATCATAAACGATACATTTTCTTGTGTCATTATATGTGAATTTCAAACGAAACTGCAATATTAAAGCAAATTCGACTATTGTGTGTATACTGATTAACAGAAAATGAAAGAACATACATTTTATAATACAGTTTTCCTCCGTTCTTGCAAACAACATCAGCATTGCAGCAGCAGCCATCGAATGTGTTATACTTTGAAAAAAAAATCGTTGTATCCCTTAATTTGATTGAGTACAATCATCTAATGGGGAATGAATAACATAAATATTAAGAAAAAATACCGCTCATAAAGTAATTGATAATTGCGAAAAAAGATTGTTTCAAATTACTTTCAACATGAAACTCTAAATGGAATGTTCAAAACATAACTTATCGTGTCACATAAGCGGTTTTTAAGTAAAAAAGCTGCAAAATGTGCCTTAAAAAATGCATACCGCTGTTTTTGGTAAAATACTTCTTAGCGCCGGCTGTAGTTAATTAAAAAAAGTCAATTTAAAAATTTGTATACTCGTGATTAAAACTGAATAGCTTACCTACTATCATACATACAAGTCTTTGTTGAAACACTGGTATTGACTGCTAAGTAGAATGTTTTATTGGTTCTTTCAATAACAGAATACGCTTTGTAAAATGCCTCTTCTAAAGCGTCGACTACCTTTTGATTCGGTGTCCATTGACTGTCACGTCTTTCACTATGTCCTGAAATTATTTAATTCATCTGTTTGTTTTGTTTGTTTTTTATTGTAATTAATTGGTGAATTTTAAAGCGTGCTATTTTTCTCTTAATTAAAGAATATTGCAATATCGTCCCTGTCTTATTTATATTTCACTGATGCTTAGTTTTGCATTTTAAGTATCATGCTTCATTTCCATTTAACTATCTGCGTTATACAATATCGTATATCGTAATTGACTTTATCTAATGCTGGATAGTCTATACCAAAACATTTTATATCTGTTCTGTTTTGTTAATGGCGTATAAATGTTTGTGTTCGTCATTTAATATCTAGCAAGTGCTATTGTATTGTTAAAGGAATATGCTACTGATTTATTGATTATTAAATACGTACATGCAAGAAAATAAATGTGTTAAAGTGAAACAATTACTAGTAACTATGTTTCATTACTGTTCATTATTAATATTAATGTCAAAGAAGCCAACGTGTAACATGAAAGTCTCAATTTGTTCGAGGCGTTCCCTTAACAGGATGATGTAAACAGTATTAACTTGAAACATTTCAAATAAATTTGAATGTGTTTCTGATTCTATAGTTGTTTATTTGTAAAACATAATCATGTACATGAAAAAATATTTTAGATTTATTGTCATGCACATGTTTCTTGTGTTAATTATACTGTCCAAATGAATACGTTAGTATATATTTCTCAGATTTGCATAACTCTTTCTAAACACAAAAAATAAATGTTTGCCATAAAATCTTTTAAAGATTATTTGAAAAAATAAACCTGTTTTGTAGGCTTGCCATGCAGTAAGCAATTTCAGCGGATGAAGGTAGTTTTTGCAACTCATTCCCATTCCCCATGGATGTTCATCCTCCATTTCCTCATCAACAGATAATGGTCCTCCATGAAGTTCCTGACTGCTATTAGGGTCGCATGGAATGTTGATAGATCTTATCTTATCAAGTACCTTTGTGGGAGACAATTTTTTATCAAAATCATTTGAATTGAAATCAAATACACATTGTACCTCATTACTTTGACAATAATCATGTTTGTATTTTAATATTGCAACTGAAATAATCATACCTTTGTTATACAAGTAGTATATAGAAGATTTTAAACCATATTAATATTTGATTCTTCCTTATTATATCTAGGGTTGTTCTTTGTTACAATTTGTTCGACCTGTTACAGGCACTCTGTTTTGTATCTCAATACATATAAGAAAAAAGTAATGGTTTATGTTCTATCGACATTGAAAAAAGCTGCACACAATACCCCACATAAAATAACACTTAATGTATATTAAGCATTGAATAAAATATTCGAAAGGAAAACAGATAGGTAAGGAACCATCTCAGTTTACCATTTGTTCATCTTCGCTATTTTCTGTAAGTAATCCATACTTTGTCATTCGGCTAAGATTCCGAACTAAGGCCTCTATAGGCATATGAGGAAGGAGGTTATGCCATACATCTCTGTTTTTAATGAGCGTTTGGTTGCAGTGCTCCCATGCAAGTTTATGTTCTCTAATCATATGGCAGAGTTGTTGAACATTTTGACACCGAGAGGCATCGTCATAAACTGTAATCAAATCGCGTATATTTTCCAGCTTAGCCTTTTCCTCATCTGAGGCTTCCAAAATGATTTGATAAAACTCGGTCATAGATTTTTGGTACCCTTTGATTATATAGCTGAAATAAAAATGTATTTATATAAAAAATGATTGTTAATAAATGATAGATATACAAATTAATGTTTATAGTGTAACTGTCCCCAAAAATGTGGTTTTGTCTCTTTACTTGTGTAGGTAGTCAAGATAAGACGACCCTTTTCAGATTATCTGTCTCTGCTAACTTGAAAGAAAATAATCAATGTTGAGTGCCCAAAATTATCATATACTTAAATATTCACGTTTCTTCAGGTACACTATTTACATCAAAGAAAATCGATCATCTATCCGAAACATCTCAGCGCGAGATTTTCGTATTTGTTTTAATCCTTTGCAGTTCCATATGATAGACATGAGAAAGTACGATTGTGAACATGAATACAGGATTGGATTTAGTTCCATGCACCGACGTAACGTTACGTCTTTAGAGGTACAAACAGAAGAAAGGCCGTTATGCTTTAATCTATGAAAAACATTAAGTTATTTTACTATTTCAAAGAAGCAGAATTAAGTTTAAATGTTTTATGTCGTTTGTACCTGAATATGAACTTCATAACATTGTCATCCGTTTTTGCATGGCACAACCTAATGACATCTTTATGTTTCCATTTGTCGCCTTTACCGTATTTTCTTATAAGCCGAGCTAGTATTTCAGGAGTCTGCTCAAACTTTGTATACCAGGATTGTATTGCTCGCTTATGTGCCCTTCCCCATCCGGTGGTTCCTTTCAGACAAAAACAATACATTCAAAAATAATAATCATGTATTTCGCAACACATGCTACAAAGATATCATAATAGCTTACTACTTTCCCTTATTGGATACAGAAAGTAAGACACTAACAAACATAAAATAGGAAATAGTAACTGTTGAATCCGAATCAAATCATCTGGTAGAATCTTTATAATCAGTGCTTGTGGATTTTTATCTAAAATAAAGTTTCTGTCACAACTGCTAAATTGAAATAATAGTTTTTAAAAAATCCCATTATTTGCAATTTGACATACTATCCTATCGTTCATGCTTTGATTAAAGAAATAATAGCATACAAACCGGCTTCTCTTTCTTCTGTAGTGTCTGACGGTTCCTCGCTGCTCACTTCCTCGCAGTAGTTAATAAACATAAAAAGGTGTGTTGGTATTCGACAGACGTCTGACAGTGCTGCATATGCTGCACGTTTAGTACTCGTGTCGTTTGACCTCGCACAAACGGCGAATGCGAACAAGAGAGCATCTTGACGTACATTTCTCCTACTTTTGCTGATTTCCTTGATTGTTTTGACAACTTCCGCCCCGTTATTTTCTCGTATCAGTCTGAAAACGTTCCAACACCAAAAGTAAAATATATTTAATAAAAAAGTCGGCTAATAACATAAGCATGCAAAATTTATATATTAAACATTTTGCAGTGAATAGGGAAATTTTGATTAAATTTTTTATATGTACAAAGCAATAAAAAAGCAATATAAGACAAACGTTTTTCATTTCTTGTCTTTCCACAACAGAGCACCAATTTATTAAAATTTACATATTTTATATCTCTAGCAATTATGTTAAGAGAATTTCATAATATGAGTAAAGCGGTGATTATACTCATGGCATCGATATGAACGAAACTGTTCTATATTATCTGCCGAAACTGACTTACCTAAACACATTTTTCAATCCTGAAACAGATAAAAAAATAATAAGTCTTGTCAAACTCTTCTGTTTGTGGCATATTATTAAAAAAAACAAAAGCATTCATACCTTTTAATCGTGTTTTTGTTTTCAATTTCTAGCTCCTTTCTTATGGCATAATGTGTGCGATCAGACCCAATGATAAGAAATCTGTGTAAATGTTTCATGTCATCAAGTTTGTATTCAAAACCTCCAACATTGTTCGGAATCTGAAAACAAGTTACAATACAGTTACAATACAGTATTAAATACGTATGATCAAATGATTAGGCTAAACAATTTGCTCCACTCGGTATCAAACCAAAACGTTTTTTTTATTAAACAATCTATTGAACCACCATCAGTATTACCCATATGAGCTATTAAAGTATATAAGCCTCGCCATGACAAAACCAACATAGTGCGTTTGCGACCAGCATGGATCCAGACCAGCCTGCGCATCCATGCAGTCTGACCAGGATCCTTGCTGTTCGCTTACAAACCCTATAACAAGTAGAGAAACTGATAGCGAACAACAAATGATGTTCAATAAAAAAGGACATACACATTGTTTGATTTTTCTGTTTCAGCACTACCTTGCGATTTAGAGACAAATCATGCTATAAACATACTATGATCATTTTTCTTTCTAAAGATAATTAAATCTGTTAATTTCTTGATTTATTTTTACAGTTTCCAAATTCATACTCATTTGGTATATACATAAACGTTTGCATCTTCAGTTCTGATAGTATAGTCATAGTGAATTAGTATTGTGTACGGACGTCACAATACAACTTTGTTTACATTTTGCTACCTTAACAACACATTACTACACATTCAGCGCTACATTTTTAAGCTGTAAAACATCTAACATACACTTAATATGCTATTTCAACAATATTAAACACACGTTGTCATTTCTAAAGAATATAAAAATGTTATTCCGAGGCAAAATGTGCCTCGAAAGATCCTGTAACTTTAATTTTTATGGTTTTATATCATAAATATGATGCTCAAATGAAGATTAATCAATATTGTAAGTTCAAAAAAGCATTAATTGTAAAGATATTACCAAATTCACATTTTATGTAAAGAATAGGAGGTAATTAGATATTTATTTTCGATAAAGTTTCAATAAGAAATGAATGCATATATTTTAATGATAACTTATAATGCGAATAAACATACAATTTAACATATTCTGTCATGTTTGGAAATTGTTTCAGATTTAAACATGTTTTGACACGGATTCGAAAACGAAAGTACATTTTTTGTTAAATGGTAATGTAGGTCAGTAAATATTGCAAATTTATTGGTGTTTGAAAAAATAAACCAAATATTTTACCTTTTTTATATTTTCATGATAATTTGAGCAAATATTTAAAGATGGAAATAAAACTAGAAAATTTAGTTTAAGTCTATTTTCGATTTTATATACTCATTTAAAGTTTACACACCTGTGGATTACTCCTCGATTCAAACAATCTCTCATTCTGAGGCACCACGTTTCCCTCTTGAATTCCAGCCATTATAATCCTATTATAAGATGCTTTATTAATCAAAATTTAATTTTCATTTGTAAATCGATAGCTGTTTTAAACACAATCGGAACGTCCTCGGCTATCGGATTGAAAGTCGTTCTACATGTAAACAGAAACATAGTGTAATGTAAAACGAATGGATATATTTAACATACAAAGGAACATAAAGTGTTTCGGTACAATTATGGTTTAAAATATGTCTAACAACACTTTTTAATAATTTTGCCCACTGATGTACAATTTTAAACAAATCCGACTTAATGTCAACTGGTTTGCATTTTGTAATTTCGGTTTTTACAACCATTATGATAAATATATAAATAATATATTGTTTACTTTTTTATGTATGAATTCACTTATTTTATGGGGACGTTTACTTGATATATTGGAAATAAACTTGTCAAAAACTTCCAGTATTAAATTACTATTTGTTTACATGTTTAGTTTTTTAACCGTAGGTTACACCGAAATACCGTATCCGTTCTGTGTATTCATTCATACTATTGTGTCGGAAAGGGCCGAAAAGTTGCGATTGTTTTAATCAACATTATCGACTACTTTAATATGCGGGCCGTTTGAAAAAAATATAGGCAAGGTAATTTGTTCTGTCCGTGTAAATTTTGCCTTTGTAACTCCGTATTAAAATCCTGAATTTGTAATTGTGCCTGTTATAACTCAGCGTTTTCCTTGTAACGCTCTGAAATAGCGGGATAATAATTTAAATTTGTTTAAATTTGGAAGTTGCTCGTGCACATTCGTCATTTTGCTCAAGAACATTTTGTCAAGAATGAACGTTTCATGAAAGCTATTTAGAAACATACATGCACTTGAGAGACAATGTCCATCTGAATACAGAAAAAAACTGCCGATCATTTAAAATTATTTCACTTGCACCGCCCTTGTCCTTTTGTATGTATTTTAATTGATTTTCATTAATCAGTTTTCATCTTTGCTTACACAGTAGGTTTCTATGATTTTGCCCGTGTACTCTGTCCTTTTTTTCTCTTTTATTTTTCAATCAAAATATACAAACATTCAAATCATAGTACATGTAATGAATACATAAAAAATAATGTCAAATCAATGTTATCAGATTATGACAAGTATATTTGTATGTTAAGATCTTTTTATAAAAGATTTTGAAAGAAGAAAATGAGTACTAAGAAAAACTGATAGTACTATTAAGTGCATAGTATGTATGAAAGAGAGAAAAGAAAGTGTACTCTGTCCTGTTTGACGTCCTTTGTTGGGGTCATTGAATGCCGTGCTTCCTTGTTGATCTTGTTTTTCATATTTTATAGTTAACAAAGAAAAAACAAATATGTACACGATGTAAAGTATTTATTTACACAATCAATGCAACATATTACAATTTATATTTTTCTTATGTTCAAGACAATTAGCTAAAGCATATATTTACAAATTATTATGCTATTATATTTATGGCAAAATGTTCTTCAAAAAAGTATTTACATGTAAATAAAGTAATTAAACATTTTTTCATACAGTGGAGGACTTTTATTCAAAACATATATACAAATGTATATGGTATGCAACATCAACAAAACAAAACATCAAAAATATAGTTATTTAACAACAAATGATATTGTTAGTTTAAGTTAATCTAACGTGGAACTACTTTTAATTAATGTACATCTATTTATAATATTTTTTTACTTTTTTTATAGAAAAACCTGATCTTAGAATAAGCTGTAATACCCAGTATTTATTTATCGAGTTATGCAACTTTGATTTAATAACCATACCTGATGAAGACTTTTGAGACGAAACGTTGTATATTTTTCAAATAAAATAATTACATTTTTAAATTGAAACTGGAGTTGATTTCTATATTCAAACTTATATTTAATAACCACTAATTCTTTAAACGATTTGAAATCAGAATAGTCATTAACATTTTCTACAGTAAAAGATTCATTGAGTGATCTTGAATAAGTAGACTTATCAAGATCTATAAACTTTAAGGTAATTTATTGGCATCCCCATTTTAACACACGTGACAAGTTCAATTTTAAGATATTAACAGCATTAACTTACAGCATACGTATTTTCAAACATTTCTTCAGTATAGAGTGTATCGTAATACTACAAAAAGTATATTGTTCCTCATTTTCATTGCATTTCATTTTTCTTTTTCATACTTCTTCCTAGTAAACTTATTTACATATCGCTCCTTCTTAAGTAAAGTTTTTTATATGCCGCAAAATGAACACATGGTCAACTACTAACCTATTTGACATAGAATGTGATTCATTTAATAATCATTTAAAAATATATGTATAATGTGCAGTTTTTTATATTCTGTCCAATGCAAATTCTGAAAGAAGTCTTGGTGCAGCAGAGTCAAAGCCTACTACGTCAATCATGTTCTGGTCGTCTTGGTCGGCAATAGTGAACTCTGTGGCACACATTCCAACAACAACCAGCTTGGCATTCGGTCTCTCGGAGTACTTCCTGTACTGTCTGATAGCTTCACATGGATGAATTCGGCCGAACCTATAAATTTGATTTTTTTAATTCAGGTAAAATATTGTAAACGAATCAAGCAAAATATAACAAAATGGATGTCTATTTTGTTAAGGAATGTATGGTTGGATCTTTCATGCATTATTTAAGTTTAATTTCCAGGAAATTAACAATAATGTTGACGATTACAATTATCATGGCACTATAAAAAATCATTCATAATAAAGTTACTGTAATATATGTCAAGAGGTAAATTATTTGTCCCATCTGAATAACAAAAAGATATTAAACTGAATCATTGATAGATGACTTTTTAATTCTTTATTGTCAATATTTCGACTTATTTACTTATCTTCGATATCAAATATTATAGTAGGTTTAAGTCAAATACCATGTTTCGTTGTCTGTGTAAATCACAAACACATCAATGTCTTTAATTTTATTTTCCATGGCATCGAGCATTGGTTTCGCACAATCTGTTGACCCCATAGGTATAACATTCATTTTCTTCTCAACTTCTGCAAGGCTATCTGTTGGCTTTATGCCAATATTTCTCATATCATAACTGAAGCCTTTAAAACGAATCATAGCAATATAAATACATACTTTCAAAACGTTACAAAATAATTATACATTAAATCAAAACCCTTTCTTCCATTCTTTGGTATAAATGGTATATTTAATACTATAATTAATTTTGCAGTACATGAAGAAATTTAGGTACAAAGACATTTTTGCAATGTTGAAGCAATTAGTAGGGACATGCTTTCACTTGCATGTGATTTCGTCTTAATAAACTCTGTTGTGTTAATAGACTATTTATATATGTTCTCTAGGTATAAATATTGGTTCTTCGTGTACTATAACTTACAAACTAGTAAAAATGTAAATAGGAAATTAAGCGCATTAATCATGTTTTTTTTTGTTGTTTTTTTTTTAAAGAACAAACTATATAAAATATAATGATTTCTCCTTTTAGAGAATAAATTTCTGATTTATTTAGGTGTTCATTACATCATTGATCGAGGTTCCTGACGAATGTATTCGATATTCGAATATTATTTTATCATCAAATCTAACTATATCTTTAAATGGAGCGAGGCATTCTAAGATTATTACGTGACATATGTCTTATGCTACATTATTATATAATCACCCACGTCATTCATATTGCTATTCATCATGGTTTCTTCGACGGGATTTAAACTTTTGGTTTGTGCATATAAATAGTAGCGTACAAGTTCCCCAAACTTCATATTTTAAAATGATCTCATAGACAATTCTTACACATATGAAACATGGAAACATATTGAATTAAACTATTCAAATACTTTACCTTTAATAATACAATTCTGTTCTGTCCTGGCCGTGACCATCATCATGGCCGCTGCAGCTGTTGCGCACGTCATATTCCTGATAAAATAACGAAGAGAAATGAAAAGGACAGAAATAAACTCTACCGATGTCAAAATAAAAACTGTCCTTGTTAGGACGTTTTCTATAGTTTCTTTATCTTTTATGTTAGACAAAGATCAAATGAATTAACTAGCGAACAGAATGTTTTTAACGTTGCATGATTAAAGAGAATCATACTTGAAACAAACCTATAAAAAAGTGCCTAAAACAATCATTTTAAAGGCATATAACTCAAAAAGTATGATCGTGGACGACCCATTTTTCCTCAAACAAATGATTCAATTTTGATATTTTAGAAAATGCTAAGTTAAAAAAAATTCTGTTCAATAATTTAAATTTTCCTTCTTTGTCTATGTTAACAATTGAGAAACTATATGAAACGTTTTTAAGGGAGTGGAGAATCGGTGGAAAACGCTATTGTTGCGGTGAATTTCTGTTTTGGGCTAAATACATATAAGATTATTTTACGTGATTTTGGAAACTAGTCCAAGCGCTTAAGATACTTTTCTATATTTATTCACATTGTTTGTTCTAACTAATTAAATAGATGTTGATATTTTTCGACCTCGTATAAAACATTGAAAGAACGATTGTTTTATGAAGCTACAAAAAAACTACTTAAATAGTAAAGCCAAATCACATATTTAGATAAGTATTGGTACAAGATTGTAATTTTGACATACTCAATTCCTAAAACTCCTTGTGACATAGATCCACTAACATCTACACCAAGGTAAAATTTCTTGCCCGTGGGCTCAACACCTTCAAAGGCCTGATAAAAGGCTGTATCCAATGCCATGATTATGTTCTTGTTTGGAATCCACTTGAGACTTCCTTTGTCACCTTTCCCTAAATAACCAATAACATGTGAGGTGTCATAGATACGTAATTAAACAATGATAACAGTCAAATGTAAAAAGGCAAAAATCGCCATTGCGTTGAAATAATGCATGACCATATTACAAAGCCTCTAAATCAATTAAAAATAACATCTCATATAGCTTTCAAAACACGCAACTAGAAGAATGTTAGTTTTCCGTGTATTAAGTGTGTGATACACATGTATTTGTAAAATTGGGTAATGGAAGATAAACAATTGCGTTTTATACTGCTTGTGTTATATCTAGCAAAAGTGTACATAATAAGTTATAACAAAATAAAAATTTACCTGCTTTGTAGGTAATTATTGCCAATAATATTTTGAACGGATGCAGCAAGTTTTTCCTTTTAGCTTTAACTCTGCTCTGATCCCCTTTGGCCTCAGAATCATCGGTGTCTATCTTACTTTCTGTGCGGGCAACGCTTTCATCCAAAGTACCTATTGATAGAATCTTTTCTAGGATCTAAAATATTTAAAACATAAATGTTATAGCACAAATTTATATAACTGTGTTATATTTATGCCCATTGTGATATATCCTTTTTGTTTTATATACTTGATAATGTGTCTTGTTATGAAAGAAAATCGCATTTGATCAATTTTATTCTAAATAAATATTAAACATCGAATAAGAACAACCAATGACTATTTTTACAATTTGACAAAACAGTTTTAATATATCTAAAGGTTTAGTGTACAACATCTCTTAACTGTTAAAAAAATTAAAATAATTACAAGTTTTTCGCTGTCACTTTTATCAGTAAACAGTCCATAACTTGTCATTCTTCCAAGATTCCGTACGGCTGCTTCTATCGGCATATGAGGCAATAAAGCCATCCAGACCTCTTTACTCTTCAACAAGGCGGAATTACACTGTTCCCATGTGAGCTCGTATTCCCGGACCAAAGAACAAAGTTCCTGCACGTCTGAACAGTTGGATGCCTTTTCAAAAGCTGTGAATAGTTTGTCAAGTCTGTCAAGTTGTGAGATAGTATCATTGTCCGTGTCCATTGCATTGTCAATATACATTTCACGCGCCTTTTCCAATCCTCTGACAATGAACCTATAATGCAGATAAATAGAAAAAATACAGGAGTCTAATAAATCTGGTACTATTATCCGATCAAAATCGTTTCACAAATCATATCACCATTCCTTTACAATTTTCATATGAAAGTGCACAACAAGTTTTGCATGATTTTAGAAATTGTCAGCGCAATTGTTCAAATCTCAATGTTTCTGCATCAATATTTTGATCTTGTTATTTTTACTTCTTCTACTTCTTTTAATGTGTTAACCTCGATTGAATATTTACTTTAGTAACAAATGAACTGTAAATATGCGCTAAACTATTTTGACATTATCACATAATGAAATAATCTAATATCATCTGTCAGAAATCAACAAGTATAGAACTACATGTACCTTAAAATAAAGCCAACTGATCTGTCTCGAGTACTTGTGTGTGATACCCTTAACAAATCTTTATGAGTCCAACCTTCCCGATTTTTAAACTTTGAGACCAAACGAGCCAGTTTTTCGGGCTGATTTACAAAGTTTGTGTACCATTTACTGATAGCTCTCTTATGTGCTCTGCCCCATCCTGATCCCACAAAGACTGAAATTAAAAACAAAATTGTAGAATTTATATCAAATCCAACAGTTAAATATCAGAATTATATACAAAAATGTAAAGCATGTGAGGCATTAAATGCTTTATTATTTCAATATTGAATTATCACGCCTTTTTGCCATTGGCATGCAAACTATTTCCCCTATTTAGATAGCCGTAATGTGAGTAGAAAAACAAAGTGTGTCTTGTTCAGTACCATACCTGCATCCTTTATGTCATTCTTGCTTTCTTGTTCACAGAATTTGACAAACATGAACAAATGTGTTGGTATTCGGCACACTTCGGATATTACGGCGTATGCGGCTCTTTTTGTGTCCTTATCGTTATTTCTTGCACATATCGAGTATGCAAGTAATACAGAATTCTGCTTTACGTTACGTCTGTTAACACTGACCTCTTTTATCTCATTAACGGCTTGTAGACCTTTACCATCTTTTATTAGTCTGCAGAAAACAATAACAGTGTTAAACTTATACCTGACATTCATTCACCGAGACATCAATGTAAGCATGTGTGATATTCATTGAACAATAATATTTGAGATACGAGAACAATTAAGAAATTGATAAAATGTACATGACGAAACCTCAGACGGTCTGCATGGCTTATTTCAGGCATAAGCGGACACTTTAATACTAGATGCGCCGACGTTCTAATTATCTTGATGGATAACTTCCTTGCATGTAATATTCCAAAGTCCTTAGCGAGATTCGAGCCAAAAGCCAAGAGGGCCAAGAGGTTTAAAGTCAACGAAGTAACCACCCGGTCACGGATACTCCTATTTTATTGCTTTTAATCTAGCATGCAAAACTGCAATAATAGCTTATAGTAATGGCTTAGTAAAAATGCGCATAAATTCAGTCTTATGTAATGAAACTTCAAGGCTTTTCTAAATACACAAAATTTAAAAAGAAATCACCCAGCTGGCTCTTGTTAGTCAAAATGCCTTGAAATAGAAAAAGGTGATATTAATAAAATAATGGAAAATTCTTTGTTTAATCGGGTTTAAACATTTCAAAAAGCAATGTCATAAAACATGTTAACGAAGTTTGCATCATAATAACTTTTTAAAAAAAAATCTAATTTTTGTTAACAGTGAGATAAGTAACAAATATAATTATGAACATACAATGAACAATAGACTTTCACTTAAATTAAATGAATTATTATAAATCTCACTGACTCTCACTGACATATAGTATATACTATCGGTTTATTTGTATTAATTAGCAATATTGATAATGCATACAGTCATTCAGGTAGATGACAGAATTAGACAAATGACATATTCCGTATTGATATAGCATAAATTTTGGGGGATAGAGGATAGATTTTTCAGGCATATTTGAACTCATTTTAAAAATTTCGTAAAGTATAATTATGTAGCATAAGTGAAGATGAGTATAATACCTGTCGAGACATTCGATGTTTTCCCGTGTTAATGTTTGTTCTTTCGCGTAATAACTCCCGCCTTCAGTTCCCATAATGAGAAACCTTTGTAAGCGTTTTAAGTCGTCTAACTTGTGTACGTAACCATCTTCATTGTTGCGCACCTATTAATAAATTAATAAAATCATTTATCTGTATCAAAAGAAAAGCGGGCAAATGTTACCATTAACATTCCGTATTTTTCAGCAACAATGGAAACCTAATCTAACTGTGCATAACGTTACAACATGCCTTATTCAAATGTCATGAAAACTTGATAATCTAACTTAAAACATTCTGTTGTTAGTAAGGTGGAAAATTTCTGCCACCAGATAACCAGATAACTTACTAATTAATTAAGAGGTTAACTAGTTACGTAACTAGTTAAACGTAACTAGTTAATCTCTTAACCCATTACTTCATATACACGCCTTTTAACGCCTTTTTCACCCCCCCCCCCCTTTTCGTTGTCTCAAATGGTGAAAAAATGCCTTATTTAGGCCCCCAACACTTGTTTTTGTTTGAGAAATGTTGTTAAAAAAAGTGACCACTTTTTCGGCGCGGCCCCCAACCAAAAGATACATCAGGGGGTTGCCAGAAGGGGGATGTGCCCCCTTCTGTTTGGGGGGGTTTGAAGGGGGCGGAGTCCCCCTCATCGCCAAGAAAATTTTGGACTTGTGAGAGGCTATAAATGACCTCAGATTGATCATAAGGTAACGTGTAACCAACGCTGAAAAGCATTTGACTCTATCTCAATCCATTGAGAAGTTGCAGCACTTTGAAATCAATTATGATGGAAAAAATCAACGCAAAATAGTGATTTTTGGCAATTTTGAGATGTCCCCTCGTTGCCATGGTAACAGAAAATTTAAGCCTGAGCATGTTGTTGCAAGGGCAATGGTCCAGTCAACATTTGTGCCAAGTTTGATTAGTGTTGAAGCAGTTTTTATAGTATTATAGCAATTTGAACTTGTAACGGGAGACTTTTCAATGAAAACAGCCATTTTTCACAAAATGCTCATGAAGTAATGGGTTAATTAACTAGTTAGTTATGTGGTTTACTAGTTACGTAACTAGTTAATTTTTTTCCATTAACAAAAGATCATAACGGGAAATAAATGCATGCTAGTGCCTACAACTGCCATTCTTTCATTGTTTTATCAGTTAAATATTAAGAGGTTCACTAGTTACGTAACTAGTTAACCTCTTAACTAACTAACTAGTTAGTTATATGGTTATCTGTTGGCAGAAATATGCCACCATATGTTAGTGAACGTTTACTCGCGTTCTGTTCATCATTATTTTACAAAACGACCTTAACTTAACTTAAACAGTGTTTTGTAGACTCAATCTTTTTATATTGTTACCATAATTAAAGTTAAAAGGGTTGACAGAAAACCTTACGCTTTGCCGTATTAATTTGAGTTGTTCTTTACGGAAGCGTATTAGGGCCTACAGTCGGTGAGATGTTTTGCGCAAAGTCAACTTATTTTTATTCGCATTGATAAGATGTTTTTGCTTTTCTCAATAAAATTAACTGACAAATATGAGAAGCTTTTAGGCATTGCAACTGCATTTTTCTCGATTTGCTTGAACCTTTTGTCTCTTCGACAAAAATCCTGTCGAAACTTCTTGATTTCACGACTTTGCTGAAATATTTAGTAAGACGCAAAGACGTAACTCGCATTGACAAATAGCTCACGTAATTCAACAAAGTTGTTTGCAATGATTAAAAACTTGTACGTTTTACGTATAACTCATAACGTCTTCACGGAATGTTTTATGTATTACGTATTAATCATTACATCTTCATTGAATGTATTTGGTCAAAACGAGAAGAAACAAGTTGACATGACGTGAAACTTTTAGATGAGTGGAGGCCCTGATAAGCTTCCGTAGTTCTTGAACCAATTGGACATATTGTAAGCATCTCTTGATACGACACTTTTCAAGACAATTTGATAGCGAATTTGAAATGATTTATCATTTAATTTGCATAATATTAATTAAATGAATAAAATAAATGTTATTTAGATGATCTTTACGGAAGCTTATCAGGGCCTCCACTTATCTAAACGTTTCACGTCATGTCAACTTGTCTCTTCTTGTTTTGACCAAAAACATTCCATGAAGACGTTATGATTAATACGTAATATGTAAAACATTCCATGAAGAGGTTATGATTAATACGTAATACGTAGAAGTTTTTAGTCATTGCAAAAAAACTTTGTTGAATTACGTGAGCTATTACGGAAGCTTATCAGGGCCTCCACTTAAAATGACATTCGATTATTATTATTATTATTATTTTATTTATTCATTGCATGTATGACGTATATATATATATGAATGCAATGCATCCATTATTATTTGAAAAATTTAATTATGATATTCATACATATATGTTTATGGTCAGACTTTATTGAATGCCTCGCTCGTTTTATTTATATTTTTGCCATTCCGCGATATATGGCTGTAAATGTTAGTCAGCTATCTGAAAAGTTTTAATTATATAGCTAAAGAATATTTAATTTAAAATTGCGACCCTGCATCAGACTTGGAAGGCAAAACATTTCATGCTTATAACAGAATATATAATTTTTACATACTTGTTTATCCCCTCCTTTCAAAGATTCGAACAATTTTTGTTTTTGAGAAACAACTTCTCCTGGCTGTAGCCCTGACATAATCAAAAACGGACCTTCTGTTTTCACAGATAGTCTAAGTAATGCGCGCATCTCTTGTTTCCTTAACCTTTAATAGTGTTTCAATTCTATTTTTTTGGTTTCCCAAATTTTCATTTTTGCAAGTTATTTTTGTTTTCTAAACCTTTAATAGTATTTGGTTTCCCATTATTTATTTTTGCAAGTTATTTTTAGAAACTTAACATAAGCAGATACTTAGCGATTTTCCCATCAAATGTTATTTGAAATCATAGGCAATTTTGTTACTATATATAGTAACAAGTGTATTAAAAGACTTTATTACACTCCTGCGCCGCGGTTTGTGTGATAAATATATATATGAATGCAATGCATCCATTAAACTTGTTATTATTTGCGTACAGTTGAATTGCATTTCAAACTTGTTATTTGAAAAGTCACTGACTGTCTCCTGTTGCAATGCCACGAGATACGCTTTGTTATTGTGGCTGATTTACGCCATGTCGTATTTTTGCTTCTTCGAGCACGAAGGGACGACGTCTCTTCGTATTTTCGCTTTTTCGAATTTTCGAGGCAACAAAGCGAAAATACGACAGAAGGAGGGCGAAAATACGACACATAAATCTGTCGTTTATTCGCATTCCATCTGTGGTATTTTCGCTTTTTTGCATTGTTACATTTTCGCTATTTCGCATTTTCGCATTGTTACATTTTATGCATTTTCGCTTTGTTACATTTTCGCATTTTCGCGTTCCGGTTGCACATGCGCATGGAGACATCAATTAATTATTATTATTATTATTATTATTATTATTAATATTATTATTATTATTATTATCATCATCATCATCATCATCATCATCATTTTAAAGTTTTGTAAATATCTGATCACAATGATATATTATTTAATATTCCTATATAAGATATATTGTATTCACGTAGATGGTATATTTTCACAGGAAAACATTTTATAATGTCTGTTATTCTAGTACTAGAGTTTTTAAGACATACTTGATTTGATTACATAGAGTCAGATGGCATGTTTGATTAAGTTCATTTAAAATTTATATAATAATATTTAAAATCATTTTTAAATATTAAGTCTTTAAAACGAAGATCTCTTTGTGGCCATTCCGTCTTCCCAATATTGCACGAATATCAATAAAAGGAGAACCATTAAAACTCGTAAAAAATTCAATAAAGATCATATTGTATTATAACGTGTTTCTCTTAGTACTTAACACAGGGAAACAATAAACTAATGGTACAAAAAATGTCATTAGCTGTAACGTTTAGGTATTTTCAGATTGATGCCTCCATGCGCATGTGCAACCGGAACGCAAAAATGCGAAAAAGTAACATAGCGAAAATGCAAAAATTTAACAATGCGAAAATGCGACAATGCGAAAATGAAACAATGCGAAAAAAGCGAAAATACGACAGATGGAATGCGATTATACGACAGATTTTATGTGTCGTATTTTCGCCCTCCTTCTGACGTATTTTCGCTTTGTTGCCTCGAATATGCGAAAAAGCGAACTTCGTCGTCCGTTCGTGTTTTCGCATTTTCGCATTTCCTAGGTAACAAAGCGAAAATATGACATGGCGTAAATCAGCCACCATACTTTGTTATATAGTTGTTAAACAATCAATCACATGGTCACCTGGTAATTTAATTAAGTGTTTCAACTATCAATCGCATTGTCACCTGGTAAAATAAAAGCAGGACAGACACAGGACATCACTGAGTATTTGTTTACATGAAAGAACTGAAATTTGTGTACCATTTAATGTAGGTTAACTTGTGTTCAAATTTTCCGATTATTTCCCCAATGCGTTTTTTCCAGAATAATTATTTTACGTTTGCAAAATGAACAAGTCTTAGACATTTTTACCTCAGTGGAGCTCTTTTAATTTATTTATATAGTAATTTTATACTTTTGCTCAAAGTTAACTTTGTCCTTTATATGGACCAGCGTCTTGTTTTTGTTTAGTTGAGACCTCAGTTGTTGACTTGTCTACAATCATAGTAAAAAGAAATATGTTTTGGGTATCTCATTAAGAACTTCATAGAAGTACCCGTATCCATTTTCATATTTTCTTTCTCTTCTCTTTCCCTTTTTACAAATGTCTTAATGCTGCTCATCTTATGGTAACACATCATGGTGTATTTATAGCTATATATTTATGACTTTAACATCCAATCTTCGTTTTGAAGTACTGCATAACACTGAAAAATATTGACATTTTTTTGTTTCAAACAGAATAAAAAGATAAAGTTATCTATGTCTAAATTCATCAGCTATGAATAAAAGCTGTGACAGTCATATCTTTTTTATTTTTCATGCGAAAGTGTGTGTGTGTTGTTGTTTTTGTTTTTTTGCAGTTTTTAGATATACGCTTATCATGGAAAGTTGGAAACTGTCAGTTTACAAAAATATCCAACACGTCAACATATATTTGTACTTTTATTTTTGAATTTGTCATTAAATTGTACCTATCATACAAAAAATTATATGAAAGGAATAAATGTTTCTAAATCTGTACACAATGTCTTTAACATATTGCAAACTGATCTGTGATTTTGTGTCAAGGTCTTCTCTCCAACCAGTATGATTTTTTTCTTATTTACAAATGTATATTTTTATTTAAATTTTCAATGAACACTTCTGCTGTTTAAAATAGACTAGTTATATATGGCAACATCTGGGTTTACCATGGTGTATTTATAGCTGAATAATTATGTACCATCACATTTAACGACTATATTATCAAACGAAGCATATAACATATATTTACGATATTACATTGATACTACATAATGGAGCCAAGCCTTGTTATCATTATTTAAAAAAGTTTGACATGCATGTGACACGTGTAATTTGGGTGTGTGTCCACGTTGTCAAGTTTGATTGACAATATAAATGTTTTGGTTTCCTCTTATAATATCTTATGTTCAATGCATTTTGTTATATTGTATCGCAAGAACTTAAAAACAATAACAAACTTCTCATTGTCCGATGGAGAATTATAAATGTTCAAGTACGTTAATTTTCTAATATTACATAGGTATATGAATCTTCCCTTTTTGTTAAGATTGTTTTATATCACACTGACATGGCCTTTTAAGTGCTTAGAGTTCGTTATTAATTTAATTAAATATAGAAGTGCACGATTTTATTATGATTTTGAATACTTATTTACAGTAACGATTGGGTTTTTTAAAATGTATTTATAGTTACATTGTATATGCAAATGCGGAGATGACCTTTCCTCTTAAGTGATACATATCTAGAATGAATTGTTGTTCAAAGTATCTCTTACCACAAGGAAATACAATACAGTGACGATTTAAGTAGGGGATCGTTGTTTGATAAAGTTTTGGTTTTCGTATAATTACACACTACTTTAATTTTAATTGTATGGTTTGTTTAAACATTCAGTGAAATTGACAAGCGTTGGAAAACCAAAACCACAATATGTTTTCGACGATTTTTAACCATGATTAAAGTACATACGTGAAATACTTACATGCATTATTTTCCCAATGCGTCAAAAATGTACCTGACAAATGTTGTATGATATTATTTATGAAAGCACAGGCAAAAACATATCGTGTCATTTTATACAAAATCTACAATATGCCCTTTGTTTATTAGAGTTAGATTAAATGCATATGTTTACAACACTCATATCGTTTCGTTTATAAGTTTCTGCGTAATTGTATGAGATGCTTTAAGCTGATTTCATAAAGTAAGTAAATATTAAGGGTATTAATTCATCAAAGAAAAGTCATTACATTTATTCATTAGTCACATACGATTTTATTGATGCATATCCATGTTTTCATAGATTAAATATAAGATGAGGCGTACATTCAAAGATTGGTTTAAATTCTATTAATGAACAACGCTTGAGCCGGTGCTAGAGAGGGGCGTGAAGTATGTTGCTCATTTTATTATCTCTCAAAAACGGACTCAATCAACCCAGATTTAAACCAATTATAGCCATTCTTATCTCCAGGGATTTCTCATTTTCCAGATTTTTAACCCATTGCCTCATTTTTAAGTAAATATCAGTTTCTGGAAAACCAATAAAACTTCAGATTCTAGATCAATTTTTTTCGCACACGACAAAGGAAAACAATATATATATATACATGAGCCATTCTACATCATTTCTAAGCTAGTTACACTTTTACATGTTGCTAAATATGTATAGAGTATAGATTTTGGTATTGGAATAGTCCCAGCATTGTTTCGGAAAAGAATAATATGATGTTAAGGATCACCTGTTTCGTATCGTATTGCGCTTTAACCTCAGTTATATTCTTATTTATTTCCAGGATGGAAAATTGCCAATCGTTTTTTACGCATAAGAAAAAGCGGAAACTAAGTAAATGTTATCCATATCCCTAGAAAAAATGCATGGACTATTTCGGTAGCCTCGTGCATCTTCAGCTAGCTATGGTTAATTTCTAACATCAATTTCGAAATACATGACTACATAGGAGTCGGTTTAGGGGTTGACGTCACGAGCAACGCGGATGACGTCATTATTCTATTTTTAGAAAACGGTTTTCCCCCAATTGATTTTTGTGACGCAATACGTTTAATTATCTGATGATTAATAATATCTGTATGACTCAATGGCCGATCCTTAATTCAGCGATTTTTCAACAGTGAATCATTGATAGCGTCCCTACGTTATAGCGTCATCTTCATAACGTCCCTATCGATTTTATTCAGCGTCCAATTAATTTAAACTTATCGTCCCTACGTGTAGCGTTATTCAGGATGAATCATAACGTCCCTATTAATTTTTAACGTTATTCTTCGCGACGCGTTATTCACCTTCCAATGAAATTAGATGTTGTATACCTACGCCAATAACGCTAAAGTGGACGGGATTTTTTTGAAATAGCGTCATTTAGCTACAAAGTTCAGTAACAATACTGCGTTGGTTCCTGGTTAGTGATTTTAACTGGGAGAATAATTAATATATAGGGATTAACGAGTATATAAATCTTGTAAGTAACACTTATTTTTTATGTTTTCATCGTAAATAAAAATTAGCAAATTGTTACATTTATTTCGCAAAA